TGTTAGGAAAGTTTTGGGTCCTTTTATTACGTTTTTCTCATGCAGTAGCATCTCATTATAATTTGTACAGTTATGTCATAATTCTTATCTGTACCCAAGAATTTCTACTTGAAGGGTCAGATAAGTCTCTGGGTTTGTTAATGGTTAGGATTTGACGGAAAAATGGGTGATATATACCCAAATAATGCTGAGGGTGTCAGATCATCATGGGCAATTTATAAAATAAAAGCCAATGACATGTTCTGTTGTAATCATGTAATGACACTGAGTTTTGCACTGGCTAAGAAAAACTTTTAATGATAGAGGAAATTAAATTAGCCAGAATTAGTGCTTCAGAAGCTATATCATGCATTTTCCGCCTTTACATTTCTATGTAACTTACTAAAATGAGGTTAGTTACATAAAATGAGGCTCAACAACACTTGAATGTGTAACCTTCCTTCTATTTTCTTGTTAAATATATCTATTCTTTTTCTTAATTTGCTCTTTATTTTTCTCATTAACTGTATATATTCATGTATTATGTTTTTTCTTTTATTTTGCTACTGGAAACGTTTAGTGTTGGAAATAGAGGATTGATCACAGACCTAGAACCTTGATATGTGAATGAAATTGCAAACTGGCAATTGACTAGTTACTTTAAATTTGACCTTCTTGATACCATCTTGATTGTGGAATGAAAAGGAAAACTATGTTTCATCTTAGTACACTAACATGGTTAGTTACTTAGATACATGATTTATGTTGTTAATTCAGTTTGCTATCTGTAAGACTTGTACTCGTAAAATTTTAATGTACTATGAAATATTGTTATAAACGTTGTGGTTACTGCTATAGGCCACTGTTAACATAAAAATTACAGGGAGCTACATTCTATTTGGCTTAGTATCCTTTATCTATATCACTGGACAAGTATAGAGCAAGGGGAATATCTGTGAACTACTTTTTCATGAGTTGTTTGTGTTAGCATGATGAATTTCTGTTTCTGGGGATGCTGTGCCGTTTATATCATCAGGGGCTTCAGCAGGGGCCTCAGCAGCGGCCTCAACAGGGACTTCAGCGGGGACTTCAGCAGGTTCTTCAACAGGGACTTTAGCACCTCTAATTCGAACGCCATCATAGTGGCCTCCCTCTCTTATTTCAGTCTCCTTGAAGGTATGTGCGTTCGGGTCTCTATCATCAAAGATTTTTAACATTTCAAGGATTCTATCCCAGACTGAAATTTCAGTGTTGCGCAAGACATCCTTATGCTCGTACAGAAACTCAGAGACAAAGATGATAAGAGCTAATATTGCAGCAACCCCGACCATAAGGAAAAGGCCCCAAAAGCTTCCAAGACCCAGACTCCTAGAAGAAACCGAGGTTCTTGAATCAGAACAATTGGTTTGTTTTATGGACCATGCCTCCTCAATTTGCATCATTCTATCACCTTCTATGACAGTTAAGACTGCCGTCGAAACATCTGCTACAAGAGGAGAACCTTTTGGAAAGACCTATAGATCACAAATTCATTCACGAAAAATCAGCTCCATAAACAGCATGCAGATAAAGTAAATGAGGGTAACAGGAAAAGAGAACTCACAAATCCAAAGCCATCAATCTTAGAAATTGATTTCACGATGGTGTAATTGCCATATTTTGCAAGAAACAGCTTCATGTAGGGAATTTCATCAAAAGCAGCTGCAATACCGTTGTTGGCACTTCCCTTAGTGAAAAGTTCATTGAGATCATCAGTTGAATTAAAGTTCTTCATCTTGGACAAATCGAATCCCAGCCTCTGAATGATTCCTTGGACGAAGGAGCCATCGTGGTACCCAACATTCTCCTTTTTCCTCAACAGCTCATTTACATCGGTCACCGTTGGCTGCAACTGTTGAACTGTCAAAAGAGAAGCTAAGCTGGCCGTGTAACTTTGCACGAGAATGAGGACCACAAAGCACCATATCACCACCACAAACCTTGCTAGATTGCTCACTAACCTCTCCCCTGTAAACGCAAATTAGAGTTAACTCTGGCTTTATGATTCCATTAGACCAAAGAGTTTGAATATGTGGAAGGATTGTTACGTTGTGAGAAAGTAATCGTGGCGAAGGAGAACCAGTAGCTGGTTCCAATGTGATATAAAAGCGGTCCGCGAAAATTTTCATTGACTCTATGTTCAAGAACCCAGATGACGAATCCGATGAAGACGAAGAAGCAACCGCTAGTGACCCAGAGGTCCAATGTCAAAGGCTTCAAGAACACCCATGCATTCTTGTTCAGGTCTGTTCTAATAGGCACCACCATCACCACTCCAGACTCGGTGAATGGTAACGTGAAGTCAACGTAAGATGACCTGTTTGCCACAATAGAAACGTCTCCAACTACCGCGTCGTAGTTCTGTTCGCCAAGGATAGTGTTGTTAATTAACAAAGCAACACTAGGCTTAATGATTGGCCGTATCAAAGCTAATTAAATGCAAATTCAAAAGGACTTACCCCATAGAAGACTTGATCGATCAGATCGTTGTAATCACCGGCCATCTCACAGTCGGGCTTTTCAAATGCATAGAAATCATAGGAGACTTTGTATGGCATTGCCTTCATGACAGCATTGAAGACATCTATGCAATAACCGGTGGGGGTGACTGTTGAATTAGGGATCGTACCAGCTGGTACACTGACGAATTCACGGAATCCATTCTTCGGCGGAACTGCAATCTTCAACCTTTTTCTATACATCGGAATCCCCAAGCCTTTGGGATCGACCTGGGAATCACCCGGCCATATGATTGTTCCAAGATTTGACTTGGAAGTGGAATACCCCGTTACATTTCTAAAATCCAATTTCTTAACCACTCCATACTTCGGTGTCCAGAACCCAACCCCCCTTTCACCATTTCCGTTTACATTAATAATCTGGAAAACGGAGGAGTCAAGTTGACCATTTATGAAACCAAATTCTCCACTTAGGCCCCTAAATCTTGTACTTGATAAAAGTTGGATGAGTTTTGGACCATTTTGAGAAACCCCAAAAGATTCAAGATCAGTTCTCGCATTTGCATTTGACACATCGAAGTTGAAATTTGTAGTGCCAAGTTTCTCAACCGCCATGGCTAGTGCAAATGTAGCATCATAAGCCCATAATCCAAAAATATCTAAGTCAGCATTAACATAACTAGGATTATCCTGCAAGAACTTCCTTTTCCATCTAAGCTGAAAACTATCTAACGCTTTTGATTTCGGAATGTAAGTCCTCACACCCAAAACACCCTGCATGGAATCCATGTCTAAACGATTCACTAGACTCCAAACATTAGTCATCCCAGTGGTTATTATCCAGACATACCCTTCACCCATCATTCCTCTCTCGTTTGCTTTGTCGAAAACATGAGACCCAAGTTCTGGAGTCATATGAACAATGAAAACTCTAGTCTGCATCGTCATTAACTTATTCAATTCTTCTTCGATCTCCTCATCAGTGGCCTTTTGTGAGATAACGCTCCGATAAGGAACCCGAGTATTAACCTCTTCCAAAGCGTCAGTTAAGTAAGGTATAACCCCTTCTCCAAACTCATTATCTACATATATAAGGACAACTTCTCTCCAGCCGAAGGCATCGATAACAGCACTAATAGCTTTGACTTGAGAAGAGGCGTTTTGAGTTGCTCGAAAAAAGTATGGGCTCCGAATGGAGGTAAGGGAAGGACTTGTTGCGGAGAAGGATATAATGGGTACCTGTGCCTTGTTTCCAAGATCTATTACGAAGTTTGCTTGCGCTGAATTTTCTGTTCCTATGATTGCTTGCACTTGTTTATTCTTAATCAAGTCTAGACCTGTTCATCAAAACAAAATTTGGAGTTAGTTTTCACATGGTATAAACACTTATGCAATATTTGGATAAAAATTAATGAAGAGAAGTGAAGGAAAGGGAGAGAAAGTAAAAAGAGGGAAAGGGAATGAGAATAAAGGATTAATATTAAGTTCGTTTGGATAAATTAAAAAAAAAAAAGAAGAAAAAAAGCGAGAGATTATGTTTTTTTATTTAATTAAATAAATAAAAAAAAATAATTATAAAATTAATTAAAATTTTATATGTATTAAGATTAAAGTTAAAATATAAATTTTAATTAAATTTTTGAAAAAAAAAGTAAAAAATAAAAATAAAAATGAATCTAATCCTTTCGAATCATATTCCTAAATTGGAGAGATTAAGAATAAAGAACTTAGAAGGAGTCTACTGCCCCTCCATCCACCTCCCTCTCATTCCCCATCCGTTAATGAAGTTATCCAAATAATATAAAAAAGAGACTTTTGCTCCACTTTCCTCTTCTCCCTCCTCAATTCCCTCATCTCCCTCCTCAATTCCCTCAATCCAAATAGAGACTTAAGGGATGTTATAATGAACTTTTATATTAGAGATTTATCTCTTATTTATCATCTAACATAGAAAAAAATTAAATTACAAAATATATAATTCATTAATTATTGCAGTTAGATGATGATTGGCATTTATTGATGCAATAGATAATTATATAAATACATAATATTAGTGTCTTTATATTTTTTTAATAGAATATCAAAATACTATTTTTTTTCCTTTTGTGAATGTTAAGTGGTTTTGCTCAAATTTTCATATTAAAAAAAAAAAAAAAATCAAAAAGTCAAATATTCTCTTTACAGCCATGATCGTGTTGAGGTTTGATGGAAGATTTTGCCGGTCTTAGGTTGTTTTGCCTTTTGATAAGTCAATACTTTTTATTTGAATGCATTGTTTAGCAAAAGGAAAATAGAAACCCCGGCTAAATTAAGCTTAAGCCCTCAAACTTATGGGAATGTTGGTTTTAAGACCTTAAATTGAGCCCCTAAACTTCATAAACTTGTCGGATTAGCCCCTTACCAACGGTAAAACGTTCAATCACCGATTATTTTATGCCACGTGGGCTTTTGTTGGAAGCAAAATGGAATAATTGCAAAATTGTCTGAACTTTTCACATTTTAATTAAAACGTTTTTTTAAATTTTAGAGAATTTAGCTAATTCAATCAAAAATAAATTAAACATTGAAAACTAAAAAAAACCAATCACTTGTTCATGAAAAATTTGTTCAAATTGTTTGGATTGGATTTGCTAAGGTTAGAATTTTGCTTTAAATCAAGAGCATTTATCGTTTGGGACCCATAAAGGATTTTGATTTAAGGATATGATGGTCTTTATACATTGTTGGTTAAAACCCCACATTGGTTTTTCAACTATTATATAGACCTTCAAATTAGTCCCTAAACTTAAAAAAATCTTTGATTTAATCTTTAAAATTTGAAAATTTAGCTCCTTTTAGTCCCTTTGTTAACTAATGGATGTCTCTTTTTTATTTCATGAGTTGAAAATAAAAAAGACGATACAAAAAATCTAAATAGTAAAGTGAAGTGATGATACAGATTGGAAATACTATTCACATTATTATATATAAATTAACTATTTTAATTTATTTTTAACTAAAATTTTAATAAAAATAAATAAAATTCTTCATCTGGTTCTTCATATTCAAAGATCCCAAATTTGGCTCGTTTTCTCCTCTCCACACTTCCTCCCTTTTCCTCCACTTGAATCAAGCTCTCTCTTTCTTCTCCTAGCCTCATTTCCACCTTCAACGGAACTAGATCTAGCCACAAGGGTTCAAGGGTTGCAATAAGGCCATGAGAGTTGAGCAAGGAACCAAATCTAGGTTCCTTACGGTTGTGCAAGAAACCCAGACTAGGGTTCAATCCCAACAAGTTTGGGTTCAACTAAACCCAGTGCTTACTGGGTTCCTTCAAAGGGTTTGAACCTAGTTTGGATTCAGAAAGAATCTAGTAGGCACTGGGTTCGAACTTAAATTTGGGTTCTATTCTTTTGGGTAAAAAATCAAAAAGATTTTTGTTTTTTATGGGTTTTGTTGTTTGATGATGATGAAGAATTGAATTCCATTTTGTTGAATTGATTATTTGATTCAGAAAAATGGTGATGAAAGTAGATTCAGAGGAGCTAAAGAGAGAGAGAACAAGAATGAATGAAGAAGATTTGAGAAAGAGGATGCTAGAGGAAGAAGATGATAGCAAAATTGTAATTTTTGATGGATTACATAATTATATTTGTTTTATTATGTGACCAAAGTTTTTTTTGGCTAGTCCTATGTGTCAAATATTTTTGAACATATCATTTTTCTTTTGCCAATTAACGGGCCACTTTAGCGTAAATTTAATAGAAGAACTAAGAAGGAACCAAAATTTCAAATTGTAGGGACTAAATCAGGAATTTTTTAAGTTTAGAGATTAACTTGGAGTCTGAACAATAGTTGAAGGACCAAGTTAAGGGTTTAACCTATATTGCTTTTAGGGATTGTGAATACACTGATTTGGCCTTCTATTTATTTAAAAAGATATATCCTTCCTCCATACTGGATTTGGTTAATATATTTTCCTTTTTTGGAATCTTAGATTAGTAGTGGGGGAAAATATAAGAAGTCAAATTGCATTGATTTTGAGCAGTGCTTTTTTTTTTTTTGGATTTAATTTTCTAGAGATTCTTTTGGGTTGTTTGAGACCTTATCAATACCGAGAGACAAGAAGACACGTAAATCATTGGTGAAAATAATAAAGGGGTTTTTAAATCAAAGATTTTTCTCCTTTTTGACTTCTTAGCATTTGATAGAGAAGAAAAAATAAAGTCTTTGTTGTCTTATTTTTTATTTCCTTTTCATTTGTAATCAACTAGCTAGATGGGTATTTTAGTTTTTAGAATTTCAATCTGTAATTTATTTTAGGTTAGATTGATAAATTTTTGTAAAATTTAAGGACTTATTTTAAAAGAAATGTGAGAAGTTTAAGGACATATTTTCAATTATTCCTTTTTTCTTTAAACAAAAAGCCAGTTGGCCAGAAATAAACGGTGAATTAACGTTCTACCGTTAGTAAGGGATCAATGACAAGTTTGTGTAGTTTAGGAGCTTAAATGATGTATTTTTAGTTCAAGGGCTTAAAACTTACATCCATGTAAGTTCGAGGGCTGAAAGCTTTTATTTAGCCTGAAATCCAGCTAGGGAAATCAGTTCGGACGGTAATTTTTGCTATTCAGTTCTGATTTTGCTGATGAGTAAACGGCATGATGGCAAGTTTCAATCTGAACTAACCATTTTTTACTGCTTGGAACTCAAAAAATGGTAGAAATTACATTAGAGATGGTCAAACTCAAAAATAAATCATCATTTTGTAACATAATTTTAATTTCATGTTCAAACCCATTAAAAAGAATGAGATCTTAAACTGAAATTATTGCCAAAAAATCGAATTCATAAGTGTAGTGTTATGTTAGAAGCAATATATATTCACTCAAATTGAATGCAGAGTGAAAAAAGAGGAACAAAGAGAAGAAAGAGGCCGTACCGGCGGCAGCTGCCCCAACAACATCTCCCTTGGAATCCCTTATGTTTAAAACCAATCTGGTTGTGTAGTTACTGTGGTAGGAATAAAAGTCTTGCAGGGCCATGTTGATGCAAGTCAGCCCCAGCTTCCCAACCCACATATCCATGTCAAGAACCACACCCACGTTTACTGGAATGGTGGCGGTAGCCGTCGTGTTTTGAGCCAATGCCGCCTCCGCCAAGAGCAGCCTGCAGAAAACGAGAAGGCAGGAAAAATGGAACAAGTGTTTTTTAGGAATAATCTTCATTTTTTTGCTTCTGGATAATATTTTGTCAGATTGCAAGAGATACCGTTATTTATAGGCCGATGGGTAATGACGTGGAGCGAGGATATATATATATATATATATATATATTTGAATACATGAGTCGAGGATAGGGTTAAAGCCAACTATCGTCCCTTTACTTTGTGAAAAAGTTCAATTTAACCCTTCCACTATGTAATCACCTCAAGTCATCTCTCTACTTCATTTTGAACTCACATGTCCTCCCTCTACTATTTAAAAGGTGTTCAATTTCGTCCCTCCATCCATTCCGGGCTAACACTGTCACATTTTACCGTTAAAGCCTAACGGTTTGGCATTTAATATATATTTTTATATTATTCTTTTCTCCAATTTGGCAACAATAGGGCCCACCAATGCCACATCATACTTCGTATTAATATCTTTCTGCATAAATATTTTACCAACATTTTTTTTTCCAATTATTAACCATGTTTATTTCTCTCTTTTTATTAACTTTTTAGTTAAGTTAATTAAAGGGATATTTTTCAAAACTATGTAGGTAATCAAGTAAATTTAATTTTTTAAAAGGAAATATATAAAAAATTTTGAATTTTATTGAGGTTCAAAAAAATTATAATTAGAAAAAAAATTCATAATGATTACTAATATTCTTTAACTGTAAGTTATAGATGATATAAGGTGAACTCATAATTTGTGATTCTATTTAT